CGGGGGGGCGGGGGGGGCGGGCCTGCGCAGGAATTCACATCCGCAGAGCTTTTTTTTAACCCTCCCCCAGAATATTTTTCCCGTTGCTTTTTCAGAGTGAGTGGGAGAGTGGGAGAGAGAGAGAGAGAAACATCCATGTGAGACAGACACATCCAGTGGTGCAACCAAGGTCGGTGCCCTCGGCCAGGATTGAACCCGGGGCCCTGTGTCCACCCGCAGACGCTCTAACCACTGAGCAAACCGGCCAGGCCTCGCAGAGCTTTTTGCAGCCAGCTTCTCTGGCTGAAGCCAACACAGCAGGGCCATCTGGGGCTCCCAGGGTCTACGTACACTGCAGCGCAGGCCAGCTGAAAGGTCAGGGGCGCCTCAGCACCCCATCTGCCAGCTAGGCTGTGCCCCCCCCCCCCGCACCAATGCAACCACGGGGAGGGGCTTTGGTAGATGAAGGCCCTGAAGCTCTGACATTAGTGGGATCACTGGCTTTTTTCTACCAATAACGTGGGGTTTCCACTGGGGTGGGGTCATGCCTTCCCCTTCAGTCTCGGAGTCCTGAAGGTAGAGTCTCCCTCAGAGCCGTTCCGGGGTCACCCGCTGACCTGGCTGTCCTGAGGCGCGGGCTGAGTAAATGAGACAGAGGCTGCCCTGAGAGCCTAGAGACGGAACACTGGTCCATGGGCCTCTTGGCCACCTCCTGGGACACCTGTCTGCCTTCCTGCTCATGCCTGGACGGACTGGCATGCAGCGCCTCCACCTGGGCGCCACATGCCTGGGCAGCTGCTAGGACTCATGAGAAGCCACCACCCTGCCTGGTTGTCTATCAAGTTGAGTGTGTGTGTGTGTGGGGGGGGCGGGGCAGGGTCAAAGCTGCCCCCACTCCCAGGCTTCAGAGACCAGATGGAGAAACTGAGCCACAGAGGGTGAGGCTCTGAGGCTGGCACCTGGCACCAAGCTCTGTCCTGGGCACAGGCCCATTGCGTTTTGAGCAGTGTGGTGGGGTTGGGAAGCACAGACTGGGAGCCGGGGCCGGCACCCTTGGGAAGGGGGGTGTCGTCTTCTATCCCTGGATCCCTGCCAACACTGGCAGAGGGGCTCAGGGAACCCAGGGGTGGGGGCCAGGGCAGGCTCGGGCTGGGGACACGGGCATCTGTGAGGGAGGCTGGCTGGCTGCCTGGG